CCTTATTCAACTTGAAAATCATAATATCACAATGAGAGTATTTTATTTGACGGACACAATTATGCTCTTTCAGCAAAACGAGAAGTTGCAGAGGACCAACCGAGGGCAAGTAAAAATGTCAAATTATAGAAAATTTTAATTTACCTTATCTTCAAACAGGATCATTATTCCATAACATACTTGAACCATTGAAAAAAACATAATTTCAAACAAACATTGAAACAAAATTATGTTGTTGATATTATCCTCCTTCGTTTCTAATATAAACCTCAGCATCTGTTGAGATAATAATATCGATGAGCATATTGATATGATCGATGGGTAACGAATGAGATATTTACCGAGCCAAAAATTGGAATAACAAGAAATAAACTCATGACCAGTCGACCAATTATTTTCACACTTTTGTTTTGTAATGGGTGTAAAAAAGCAGCTTTCATTATTTTTGAGACACTATCTGAAACACAAGCATTCCAAAATTTAATCAAAATCTCTTTATTTTCAATATCAGCGTCTGTATGAGACAGCATTTTCACGTAGATTTTTCAAAGGAAAATGCTGTTATTTTCAATCAAAAGTATTTTTGGTGTTTATTCCAAAGCGATAAATATAATGCGAAATATTTGATATTTGGTGAACTATTCGAAATGCGACTTTATCATTCATTTGCTTAGTAAGCACAGTAGTCTATTGTTTTTAAGGTAAAATCAATATGACTTAAATGAAAGGTCATTTTCATTTAATTCAAAGAAAAATAATATAATTGAATATATTTAAATAAATTATATCCAGCACTGAAGATTTTATTTTTGTGCTACCTTCAACTATTTATTAATTATTATCAAGGTATGAAATACTGCTATGTAAGATATTTAAATTTAATCGCTTTATTTATCTCCAATCATACGATCTTATAAAGACGCGACGATAAAATTTGTTTAAAAATCAATGGTATCCTCCGTCGCCTCTTCGGACGCTTTTGCTTGGTCATTTTTCACGATGGCCTTGATGAAGCCGACGTAGGGGTAGACGTTGGTGTAGACATCGGGATGGCCGCGAGCGCATTGAATGACGTAGGACGCGACGCCGACGAGCTCGCCGTTCGATACGAGAGGGCCGCCGCTGTCACCCTGTAAAATTACGACGCAAAAAAAATATCAGTATCAAGCTGCAAATGCGTCATGGTCGGCTCAATTCCTAAAACTCACCGAGCAAACGCCGACGCTGTGGCTGTTGAAGGCGCACACCTGAGTACTGCTGATGGCGAACGGCATGCTCTTCTCGCAGTAGTAGCTGCTTATCAGCCTCATGCTGGCCTTTTGGAGCTGCATCGGCGTCACCTGGGACGAGTACTGATTGTAGCCCCAGCCGGTGATAACGGCCCGGCCGCCGTTCTGCACGTCGCGGCTCGGCAGCTTGATCGGGGCCTGCATCTCCGAGAGCTCGACGGGCTCGGCCAGGGTCACCACGGCGATGTCGTTGAGGTAGGTGTTGGCGGCGCCCCGATAGCCCGGGTGTACGGCGACCGAGCGCACCATGTGCGACTGTCCGGTGCTCGAGTCCGAGCGACTGGTGCCCGTGTAGATGCGCATGTTGGCGATGGCCTGGGGCGAGTTCTTGCGCTCGACGCAGTGGGCCGCGGTGACGACGTGCTGCCGACTGACCAGAGAGCCGCCGCAGAAGTGCATGGGCTTGGAGAGGCCGCGGGTCATCCAGCGCATGGAGATCTGGTAGGGGTAGTCCTGGATCTGGGCGCCGTCGCCGCCGATGATTTTATTGGACGCGTCTTTGAATTCGGGCGCGGCTGCGAGTAATTCGATCGTTAGTATTATATATAAAATCCAAACGAATGATGTTTTTGAGTTTCTTACCCGAATTGGTTCCGAAGAACAGGCCCAGAACGCAGAGAACGATCGAGAGCTGGCTCATTGTTGCTGCTGATTGCTGCTGGAGTGCCGTAACCGAGTGTACGATTTTCCGAACGGATCGTCGGCTTTTTATACTGGTTCGGCCGATCGAGTTGGGAATCGTCGACGCTTTCGCATTGACCCAGTGACTTTGAGTGCTTCTTTTTTTTTTATCGCGTCCCCGCAATGTTAAGGGCACAGCAGCTGAAGCAGCGGTGTCGTATGCCGTTATCTCTTCTTTTTTTGACATTATACACGTGCGAATTCCGGTGTAAGTGTCAAGCCCTCATCGTTGTGCTGCTGCACTTCCGTTACAAAGTCGCACGCGCGCCGCGTGAGCGACGTCAATGTCATTGCTCGACTCGAGTAAGATTGATACTTCAATGTCTGGACGAGTTTACGACGATCTTTTTTTAGTTATGATTTTTTTTAATATAATGAATACTTGTATCGGTGATTCGATCAGTGAGTGACCACTTGTTGATACGCAATAATTATAATTTTTCTACTTGATATTCTAATTGTACATGTAAAATAAGATGCAAAGTTCACTTAAGAATTAAATAATTATCATACAAATGTACTTCTAATGATTTTTTATGGAATATTTTTCAAAACGGACATTCACTAGTAACTGAGTACGCATTTATTTTCATAGATCATAAATAAAAATAAGATATATGCACTACTATGAAAGGCAAAAGACGAGAAATTTTCTCGCGCCTTGAGGCCAAAGATCAATGACGCCTCGGCATTGACTGCTCTCTATTCGCGCTCGGGGTCATAGCGGCGTGCGGGTACCGTTCGTATATATACCGCACACATTTTAATCTGCCACGTTTCCGATCCCACGCGCGCGTGTAACGAGTCAATTTCCTTCGATCGATTGATCCCCGCAGAATGATGAAATTGCACGAATCGCTTGCACGAGAAAATAAGCCTCGATTTCGACGTATCATGATCGGACACATATTGTAGTATACAAAGTAGTTTTACCGTATATTAGGTCAGACGCCTCGTCCGCGCAAGCAGATACCTCGATATCGATGTTTCAATGTATTATGTTATAAATTGTCGCACACGCGCGCACGCGGTGGGTGGGGTGGCCGAATCCCTTACGCAAACACGTCTGCGTGCGTACCATTTTATTAATTATTTCGCGACTCCCCCGCCGCGGAGAAAATCAATAAATTACAGACGTACTACTCGGCTTAATGATCTGGAATAGCGCCAAAAAGCTTTAAAGCTCTGCCGCGATACGAGCCTGAAAAAAGAATCGCTTTGCACGATAACGCGTGCGCGCCAAGTATAACGAAGTCTCGGAAAATACCCCATGCATAGCAGCAGCAGCAGCGCACATATATAGAGATGCAATCCGAGCGCGCGTCGCGTCCCAATTACGATAGGTAGATAGAGAGATTATACCTATATGTATAGAGAGACAAGCGCAGCAGCACACGAGGTGCACACACGGCAAGGGGGGGTCCGTGCATTACGTAGCATGCAGATATATACATTCGTGCGTATATGGGATAATCAGCTGGCGAGCGGCTCAACAACCCCGCTGGTGCGCGAGACATCCACCCACCCACACCCACGCACACACGCACACATAACGATGAATATATATAACGGTGATGCACACACTCGACTCGGCTGCCGCCGCCGCTTCGCACATAGCTATATACACCGTTGGTATATATATATATGAGCGCGTCCAGCATAAGTCGGCCACCCCGCGCGATTACGGCATTTTTGGCCGAAAGTGTCGTATGTTTAGCTCGCTCGGAAACGTTTACCAAGGGTCAGAAAAAAAATCCAAACCCATGGATCGATAGATTTTTTTCTCCTCTTTTTAGTGGTGTAACTCAAAAAATTCTTAAAAATTGATTTTGAGGTTAAAACTCGACTTGAATGTTTAAGTCGATTTATCCAAAAAATGTATCCTCCGATTTCAATTTAAACCGCACCAATCGAAAGAGGAGGCAAAAATCTATCGAAAACGATGTTTTCCAGGATGGAGAAATCATAAGAACTATTAAAGATATCGAGATGAATAGCGCGGGACGGCGCGCGCGGACCTGTTTTCCGTGCGCCAGCGGCGGCACACGCGCGGCGCCGTGTCTTTGTCTTTTCGACTCCCTCGTAATCGCTTAAAAAATGCTGGAAAAATAATGTTAACACGTAAATCGATAGATTTTTTTCTCCTTTTTCTGATGGTGTTATTGAAAAAATTCCCAAAAATTTTTTTCATAGTCAAAACTTGACTTGAATTTTTAAGTCAATATTTCTTCTAGTATTTCAATTTTGACCTCAAAATTAGCATTACCAATCGAAAGAAGAGGAAAAAATCTATCGATTTACGTGTTTAAATTATTTTTCCAGCATTTTTTTAGCGAGTCGAAAAGACATAGGCAGGAAAAGAGGTCCGCGCGCGCTGTCCCGCGCTATTCTTCTCGATATCTTTAATAGTTCTTATCATTTCTCCATCCTGGAAAACATGGTTTTCGATACATTTTTGCCTCCTCTTTCGATTGGTGCAGTTTAAATTGAAATCGGAGGATACATTTTTTGGATAAATCGACTTAAACATTCAAGTCGAGTTTTAACCTCAAAATCAATTTTTAAGAATTTTTTGAGTTACACCACTAAAAAGAGGAGGAAAAAATCTATCGATCCATGGGTTTGGATTTTTTTTCTGACCCTTGGTAAACGTTTCCGAGCGAGCTAAACATACGACACTTTCGGACAAAAATGCCGTAATCGCGCGGGGTGGCCGACTTATGCTGGACGCGCTCATATATATATCGCAGGAGAAAGAAGCGGCCTGCGTGTGGGGCGTCGTCGCGGCGCAAAACCAGCGCGCGCGCACTAAACCCCGTCGCGTCGCAGCATCCCTCATAGTGTATGCGTGTATGTGCAGCTTGCAGCACCCCACCACCCACTGGCATTCTTCAGTCGAGCTTAGCCCTGCGGCCGGGCTCAACCACGCCATATATATACCATATATATATACTTTTGCTCGCTCGCTGCGCGTCACCTGCCTGACAGCCTGCCTGCCTGCCTACATGCCCCGATTATTTTTAGTTTTTCATCGCTACTGTCCCTGTGTCGCGTCGTCGTCGTCGTCGTCGTCGTCCTCGTCGGTCCTAATTGTGTCGAAATCGCGCGAGTGATACCTATCGCGTACCAACGACGGCGCGACGAGTCATCGAGGTTTCGCGGCAGATAAAAGTCTCCGAGTGAGGTGCGGTGCGGTCCGTGGGCGCGCGCGCGGGGGCGGACGGACGCGTCAACGGCATGGGAGTTCCACCCGTGGCTGCCGTGCGCTTCGGCCAGCCGACGTCGCAGCAGTACAACAATCAATCCTCGTCGAGGTCCGCTGCCGCCAACAGCCATGGTGCCGCCGGTGGCGGCTGCTCGGCCTCGTCCAGGCGCAGCAGCGGCAACGGCAAGCTCGGATTGTGCGACAAGATCGAGAATTACGTCGCCGAATTGGGCCACTGGTATATACGCTAACATTATAGTGTATTTTCACACACTCGACTTTGTTCCCTCTCCGTGTACTATACATGGTAGCATGTACGCGAGCTGCACGACACTCTCTTTGTGAGCGAATGGGTGGGGATCGTCATCGGCCGCTCCAGAGCTTTGTTGCCGCGTCGCGCAAGCTCACGCTGCTACGGCGATATACTACTACTACTACTACTACGTACTGTAATTGCAGCGAGCTCTATGTTCGAGCGGCTTTAGGGTGTCGCCGGGAGCTTCTCCCTATCTCTCTTCCCTCTTTTTCATTTATTTTTTTTTCTATTTTTTTTTTCTTCGCACCCCCTTACGATATTCGAGCTTGCGTCTCGCCGAAGGTACTTCTCGATTCACGCACGCGAGCTGTACGACAACGTGCAAGTATATACGTTGTTGTATATTATCGCGTTGGTTTACTTTTCTCTCCTTTCTGTGTCGAGTACTTTTTTCTAGGCGTGGAAGTCGAGAGAGTTGGCGCAATTTTCGTCGCGCACGGGGCCTGCGTAATAGTGCGTGCGCGTTAGGTATAGAGAGAGAGAGAAGCCCCAGTCCGAAAGGAGGATGTTGCCCTCTCTCTCCCGCTCGTTCGATGTGTATAGCTATGCTTGCATGAAGTATGTACGGAGCTATAAGTCTATCTATAAAATATATAGGACGACGACTCGAGCAACGGCTGCTATATATTAGAATGATGTGTGTGTGTGTGTGTGTGTTGTTTGGTCGATCGGCGCCAGGGCAGCTCTTGGCAGTGTACGCTGAGATTTGCTTTTATAACTTTTACAAAGGAATACGCGGTTAATTGTTTGCTACATCATGAATTTAAAGAACAAAGAGAGATTTTTAATTGAAATACCTCCAAAAAATATTTTTAATTAACAAAACTTTTCCGAGCTTAATTGCTTACAAAAGAATAAAAAATGTAAAATTGTTTGAACAATTAAATTTGAAACCCTTGCAAAACATATTTTTTAATTGACAAAGCTTTTCGGAGCTTCATTGCTTACTAAAGAATAAAAAAATATAATTTTTTTCGAACAATTAAATTTGAAACCCCTGCAAAAAATATTTTTAAATTTGACCGTTCAACAAATTTTACTTTTTTTAATTTTTTTGTAAGCAATTATAAGCTCCGAAAAGCTTCGTTTGGCTCATCTCTGTTTCGTTTGTAAATTTCGGCTTGATCAAAGAGAAAAATGCGAGGCAAACGTTCCAACTACTATAAAAAATATTTATTTAACTTTGAAAAGACGCCTTCGTGGCCAAATACAGCAGTGCACAAATTCTCAACGCCCACTATACGAGATCCACGAAATTGAAGAACGCAAAGGAACCAAAAAGCCTAACTAACTTACGCGCGCGCGGCCTATAGGCTGCGGTCGCAATCGTTGCATATAACCACCGTTATATGGATTATTCAAGATTGATATGTTAAAACACAGACGGAATTGGAAACCTGTTGCTTTTTCGATACAGCATTTATAAATGGATATACGCGGGGAAAGTCTCGTCAGACAATCCGATGTCTGCGTGTAATGTCGGCACGGCAGCGGAGAATCGATTATGACCGAGTAAATTGCCGAGACATTGCCTTTGACTCTCGATCGTAATCCCAGTTCCTATCATCTCGTTGATCCTCTTGTTACGTGGTTACAGCTGAACTCGTGGCAATTATCGGGACGGGGTGATACGAATCCATAGATACGCGCATGATTGGAAAACAATTATTGACAAATTATTTGGGACGCGAGTCGCGAGAATTTGAGGGATAAAAAAATATAAAGCCTATAACATACACTCGAGATCGAGGGGGGGAATTCGGTGCCTCGAGAGGCGCTCGTGTATGTATAACACAAAAGCGTGTCAATGAACCTTTTACGTGCTTAAAGTCTTATATCATTTTTTCTCTCTGTCTTCTTCTGTTTTTTCTTTTTTTTTTCGTCGTGTGTTAAAACATGCATGTGCTCTTCTTCTTCACACAGGGCGGTATGGAGGGCAATAATAATAGGCCAGTTCTTGTCGCTGGTGCTCTGCTTCATGACTCTGCTCAACCACCAGATCAATACGGCCTATCAAATCAACCTACCAACCGGTAAGATCGTCATTTTTATTGTAAATAATTGACCAGAGATAAACTCAAACCAGAGATCTGCGATGAATAATTATGATAAATTTCTCATGGCCCGGAACTCTTTGTTCGTATATATCCAAATTCATATACGGTATTACATCGATAACGCGTAAATGAAAAATGTGTTTTTACAGCTCAAAATCTTCCTCACTACGTTATGATGCTGCTGGTCTACACGACCTGGATGTCTTGTCGTGGCGCCGGCAACGGCCTGTTCTCCGTTCTGCGCGCTCGCGGCTGGCGATACCTCCTCTTGGCGCTGATCGACGTCGAAGCCAACACGCTCATCGCGGCGTCCCATCAGTTCACCAGTCTCGCCAGTGTCCAGGTACAATAACAATAACAATCGAATCCAACGCGCATCGCGAAACAAACGTTTGACTATATGCAATTTGCCATAACGAAGCTGCTGGACTGCGTGGCGATACCCGTGGCACTGGCTCTGTCCTGTCTGGTCCTCGGGGTGCGCTACCGCATGGTCCACATCGTCGGCGTGTCGATCTGCCTCATGGGCGTGGGCTGCCTCGTCTGGGCCGGCATCGAGGAGAGCAAAGACCCCGGGACGGCGCCGGCCGGCAAGAATCAGCTGGTCGGCGACATGCTCTGTCTCGGTGGCGCGGTGCTCTTCTCCATCATCACGGTGCTGCAGGAGCTCACCGTCAAGTCCGTCGACATAATCGAGTATCTGGGCATGATGGGCTTCTTCGGCACGATAATCTGCGGATCGCAAGTGTACGTATAACGTCGATCGTGCAACGCTATACGAAGGACGACGATACCTATAGATATTTATGGGAAACGTTTGTAACGTAAAAATGTTTCCGTCGACAGTGCCGTACTGGAACGCGTGCAGCTCGAGGCGTTCCAGTACGAGAACGTCCTGCTGATCTCGTTCCTCGTCATCTACTGCATCACTCAGTTCGTCTTTTACTCGCTCATACCGGTGGTACTGTACGAAACCGGTGCCACGTCGCTCCAGCTCACCCTGCTCACGGCCGACTTCTTCAACATTCTCCTCGGCATGCTCATACATCAGTATAAGGTTCGAGTCAAATTTTTTGTTTCGAGTGTTTTTCAATACCGCTTCCAACGATCAGGCGCGCACACATTTGCATATATATACCTTATCTACGTTTCTTTCTTCTCTTTCGTCGTTTGCGCAGTTCCACGTGCTCTACTTCCTGTCGTACGTCCTCGTCATGACCGGCATCTACACCTACGCTATCAAGCGCACCCCCATGTCGACGAGCACGAGAAGGCCGCCCCACTCCGAGCCCACGGCTCCGGATTACAGGTATTATTATTATTATTGTTACAAGTGTCTTGGCACCGACTTGCACGCATATCCACACGAATTTCCTTGATTTTTTTTTTGGTAGAATTGGTAAATATTTTTTTGCACGTGTCCAATAAATATAATACCATGATCGACCGACCGAAACAGCTTACTGTTCTTTTCGTATATATAAAGTATATTGTTTTGTAGAAAATATTTTTTTACCTGTTTTTTTTTCGAACGAGCAAAACTGACTATAAACACGACTGAAGACCTAAATATGACAATCGCAATGTTTGACGTTGATATTTTGTTTATTTTTTTGTCAAAAATTGCACTCATAACATCGTGTGATGCAATACTCCATGCAAATACCCGTATGTCAATATACACCATTTTGATGTGTGTGTGTGCGTTATTAAAAAAAAAAAGAAACACAAACAAAATCAATATTAAAATATATATACGAAAAAAAAAGGTCGACAATCGAATACTAATCTCCTATATCTGCGCTCCTGCGAAACTGCGCGCCTTGAAAAACAGTGACATTATTTTAAGACACATGGCGTATCCGGGCATCGGCGAGGTCGAGCTCTGCAACTCGGGCACCCTGGACAACGTGCACGGCGGCCTCGTCGGGCGCAGCTCCACCCTGGGCAGCGAGCGCGAGTCCCTGCCGCTGAGCGTCAGCTCGGACACGGCCTTCACCTCGTTCTACGGCAGCCAGGGCAATCTCAAGCCGTCGCGCTCGACGGCGCGCATCCCCTCCGCGACGAATCTCCACGACGGCAGCATGCGCAGCTCCTGATCGGGCGAGCCCCTGCCGCATAGGTAGAGAATGTCCGACCGGGACAGGTACTACGTCTAAGAAGAGGACTGCCACGACGGGCCGCATCGAGAAAATGTCGACGAGACTTTGAGCTAATAAATTAGCCGTATACCGATGAGGGGTGGTTGATGCTACGTTGCGTATGGATTATTATATGTGTAATACTCGCTGTATCGTATTGGAAAAGTGGCTGCGAAGTTCTTTCATTTTCTTTTGATTCTTCTTTCATGATATTGTTGATTGATTGTTGTTCTTTCAAACGAGTATAGAAAAATATATCAAAATGTTGACTATGTTTGTGCAATGTTTAATATTGGTTCAAGATCAAGTAGAGCACACGAGTACTTTTCTTTTCATCGAACGTTAAGTTGGGTTATTACAACCCTCGACAAGGATATTGTTAACAAAAAACAAATATGCTATAAGGGGAACAATAAATGGCCTATTAATGGCCTAATATAGAGAAGAAAAAAAAGTTCATAACGTTTTTCTCGTACAACGCCTCGTATTAATTACATGCGGGCGCTAGATAGATTTCGTATGATTTTTCAAGCGCACACGCCTCTGAAGCTTTTTACTTTGCGAGCCGAGAGGATATAAAATTTATACGTGTAAGCTAGAGAATAGCCAAAATGTTTTTTCAGTGGAAAATTTGTAGATGACTAATACGAATATTTAACTGGAACGATGTTTCAAGGAATTAATTGAGACTTCTGAACATTTTCTAGCCACTAACACTATACAATAATTCTAGCGAACTTTTCTATTGTCTTTTTTTTTTTGGAAAAATTTTTGTTTTGAAATAGAATAAACAAACTCTAATGAACTTTTTACAATAAAAATATATCTTTCAAGGGCCAAGAACTTTTCCACTTTTTTATCAGGCATCCAAAATAAAATATCAATGAAGAAAATTTTCTTGTGCCAAATGATGAAATCTATGAAAAAAAAAAAAAAAATTAGCCATAGGAATGAAAATCGTAGGTGCTTGTACGCTTTAGGAGATGAAATATTCCCACTACTCTTCAACAACAGTGATCGAACAAGAATAAACAACATTTTCGTCTTTTTATACATAAAAAAATAGATGTCAAAAACCTAAACGGTCTAAATTTTTTCTATCATACGCAATGAATATTATAATAAAAGGCTACATAATCAAATATTTAATTGTAAATAATACTACGTCGTACTTTTTTCATTATTTCAATGACATAAAATCAATTTATTAGAAGAAAAAGCATTATTTCATGTGTTCTTCAATTACACGAACACTAAGTTTCTGATGCTTCAAACTTACGGCTATAAGTTGATTTGAGAAAATATGTGATAAAAGTAGTTTACTTTTCATAAATATAACGTTTACTGTATGTATAACATACCAATCATTTGCGATTCACTGTAAATCATCTATACTCAAGGAGTATTAAAACTAGAAAGAAAAAAAATACTTGTAGAAAGTATAAATATTATATAATACACGATATATCTATATTGGATATTTGGGTGAAATTTCGTAGCTCTCAATTGACTAGCTATGAGATTGATAATTCATAAAAATTATGAAGACTGATGCATCTCTGTTCTATGTTGATTAATTTGTATAATAATTATCGGTTGAAAAATTATTGTTAAGCGTTTACATGAGAATATCGACTCATAAATCAAAATGTTATCGTATTGAGTGGCACTTCCTCGGACTAGTTTTCAATACTAGTGTATATTATTCCGACTGTTTCAGGGTTTTCGCATAATTGTATACCTTTGTTAACTACTCTATACTACAGCGTTAAAAAAAGGTAGTTCACGTCGGTAATATTATTGAATTTGTCCTAGTGACTGATCATGTAACCATAATTAACGTGTATAAAATAAATAAAATTCTATGATGTATGAATTGTCATTTTTGTTATGTTCCATTCACAGCATTTTTAGTCTTTTCAACCAATGAATTTCATCATGAAATACTGCTAATAAACTATTGAAACAACGTTTTTATGGCATTTTAATGTGAAATTTTTAAAGTTTTCTATTTATCGAGGAATTATAAAAATAATGATTGAACATAGAGATTGTTATTACTTAAGTAAAAAAAAAGTGTGGAGCATTAGTAATTATTCAAAAATGATCATTCGATATATATTGAAAGATTGACTTGTTTTTTGGTAATTTTCTAAACATATTCTAAATGATCAGAAATTGATAACTTATTTGTTTGAAATAATTCAAACCAGCTATCAACCACTTTGCATATGATAACACTACTTTAAGCTTCCACCAGTAGATGGCAACTCAATTTTTTCTGTAAATCTGCTAGTAGCAGAGATAAAAAATTGTATAAGACTAAACATAGATTTGAAAAATTCGGTTACTTGTTTGGCTCTATATTTTATAATTCCATAATCCAGATCTACTGGACCTGTCATATTCAAAAAACTTTTTCGTTGGCCAAAAACTAGCCATAAAGTATTGAGGATTTCTATCAGGTATACTTACTATTAAAAATATCTCTTGTCTCAGAGTTATATCGTGAATTGAAAAATGAAGAAGTAAATTATTGAATGAGTAGGAACAAGAAGGATGAAAGTAGAATTACCTTTTGAGAAATTTTTATTAAAAAAATTTGAAGCCCTGAAAAATTCAAATCCACATCGAGATCTTATTATTGATTCTCACGTAGAAATTCAGGTTGCACATTGTTTAAAATAATTCTCAGAAGCACTTTTTTTAAATTGAAGTCTCATCAGAGTAAGTAAACAAATCTATACTTTGAGTTTTGGTCTCTTTAACCACTGATGCGATTCAACCTGTACAAGAAGGTTTCAAAGTAAAATCGCAAAAATAAACTCTATGCGAATTGAACTAGTTCATAAATCGTCGGTCTAGCGCCGAAAGATATTTTCTTATCTAAATTGATGAGATAGGACTCGTACATGTTTTTGACTCTGAGATTCATAAGACATCTTATTGTGCTGGGTAGACGAAATAAACATTCATTTTTACAAAATTTACTTTTCCTATTCAGTTTATAATCTGAGTAAAATTATACTATTTCATATCTTGGTGCATTAGTACTTTATGAAAAATCACATTGTATTTGTGCTTCAAGAATTCATCAATTAATACCACATGGTTTTTTACATTCTCTAACGTCAACAAAATTAAAAACCAACAGTAGCAGCATTGATACTGCTGCTGAGACATTTTGGTAAAAATTTACAATGAAAAATATTTACTTTTACTAAACTTACGACAGTGACATAAATTTTTACTTATGTTTCACGTGCCATAAGCAGTACTAGATAGGCGTTCCATTCTACTTTTACGTATTAAAATGTACAATTTTTGAATACGAGACTCTTAAATCTTATTGTAATATCCGAATGACATTGTTTCATTAATACTGTTTTTACGTGCAACATATAGATTGCACATCGACGCGTGAACACAGTGAGTTTACACAGTTTTTACGAAGTAATAATTTTTGTTTTGAACAAATACTTCAAGGATATGTATCGTGAAAATCGAATAAAATTTTATATACACACTCGGTGGCGCACACATAGGTAATGCACTCAAAGTACATCGATGCGACCGATAAAAATTGAATCAAATTTTTTCGTTTCATTAAAATACTAGCTAACTCACGGAGAGTTACACTTAACTTGAGATTCAAAAGCTCTTGTCGCGTTTAAAATATGTACAGTAAAATTTGATTCACGCTTCGTGGTGAATTATTGCTTCAAAAGTATAACAATGAATACGAAGAAAAAACAAACTAGCATTGTATTTTTTGTCGTTCGTCTCAGTCGTTGCAGTAGCAGTACTTTCGCAAGTGAAACAGGCTGTTCTCCACGCACCTCGCTTGAGATCCGTATTTATTGATTCGGCTTATATCGGTAATCTGTAGAGCAAAAACCAAAAAAAAAACACATAATTCAAAACAGCTTCATGCGTTTCAAAGACGAACGACACTGACCTTGGTCGAGAAAATATTGTTCTCCACTCGATGAGCGATGCTGGCCTCGAACAGCCCGTTGCCCGGCGACGTTCTCACCTTCACCTGGTACAGCTCGCTCGTCACCGGCGTCTTGGCGCTCAGCTCCGCCACGAAGCCGTCCTTGTCCTGTGACTTTTTGAAGTTCAGTATGCCCTTGGTCGGTATGAGTCTCGCGGCCCACAGCACCTCGGCCAGACGCAACTTGGCGCATATGTCCCGATGCTCGTCCGTGTACGAGTTCAAAAAATCCACCAGATATCGGGACGCCTCCTTGACCGCGTCGCGCTCCACCGAGATCTCCTCCCAGGCGAGACAGGCGCACCAGTGCGGCTCGATGAAGGCGTCCGCGCAGGTCCTCTCGATCGGTATCTTGTCGAACAGACTGATGCCCCGATCGTTGAGATCGCCGTCCTTGACCCCGCGAAAGTCCAGCAGATGGCTCAGAGTCGCGTGCACGTCGAAGGGCGTCGTCAACCTCTGCGTGTTCCACACGAAATTGGCGTAAGCCTGAGGATGCGCCTGCTTGAACCAGGCCGGAAAGGTGAACGAGAAGAAGGGCAATCTCTCCTCCTGCTTGCCCTGCAGCGTGTTCCTGATCTCCGCGAATCGATGCCCGTGATCGCTCATCAGTATCAGCAGGGTGTCGTTGAGATGGCCCGCCTCCTTCAGTCCCTTCAACCAGGCGAGCAGATCGTCGTCGGCCGCGCCGATGTCGTTGTACGAGTCGTGCGACAGCTCGCCGTGAAAGCCGAACACGAACTTCGGCTGGTGCTTGTACCTGTCGAAGACGGCCCTGATGTGATTCAGCATCACGGAGTGCCGAGGTATGCCGCCCACGCAGAAGCTCTTGAAGTAGCTGAAGTAGCGCGAGGCGGCCAGATAGTAGGTGCGCATGTAGTGATCGGTGGGCTGCCGATCGAAGCCCTTGAGCCGATAGGTGAAGGTGCCGATGTGCGCCACGTCCTCCATGAAGCCGGTGCGATAGCCCGCCGCCCGATAATCCCGCCAGATCATCGGATAGACGTCGACGTAGTTGGCCCGCTCGCCCATGCGCTTGCGCGTCTCGGGCAGCTCCAGCTCGATCTTGCCCGTGAGCAGAGGTATGAGAGCCTGGGGCGTGCCGTCCCCCACGATGTTGTAGCCCTCGAGCACGAGGCCGCCGAGGCCCCGACGCAGGTAGCGCAGCGAGCGCGGCAGTTTGCGCGCGAACGTCTGGCGCGACAGCGAGTCGAAGCCGAACACGAGCACGTTGAGGGGCAGGGCGCGTTTGGGCAGCTTCGACCAGGAGATGTCGCTGGCGATGGAGTCGTCGTCGGACTCGTCGTGCACCGAGGCCAGCACGCTCATCCACTGCTTGCCGGTCTCCGTCTCGCACTTGACCTCGGCGTAGTCGCTCGCGCGCAGCACGTAGTCCGTCGTCGTCTCCTGGGTCGGGCTCAGCTCGATGTTGTTGTCGTCGATTCGAAGGATTTCTGCGGATGGGGGGGGGAGNGGGGGGGGGGGGGGGGGGATTTTTTTTTATTTATGCATCGCATAAACATCACATTTATTTCGACACATAACAACGGCGGTGCTTACCATTGATAGCGCAAGTGATCTCTCCGTAGCGACTCTTGGCCTTCTCGTCGATGTACAGTCTCGGCCCGTCCGACTTGACCCAGTCCTCGGGTGAGCACTGCAGCGCCGGCACCTCGTGAATGAACTGCATGATCTCCGGGCTCGAGATGTCCAGCCTCGGCAGTTTGCACGCCGGCGAGCCATCGCTGTTCAATACACGATACATAGAGATAATATTAAGAATAATAATGCACAAAAATGAGATATCTAGCGATTATATTTTATAAAAATAAATATGCTCGACTTTTAAAACCGGTCCGGTTCGGTGATTAAAACATATATGGCAATTTGAATTGTTGTAAAATACATAACCACTAATTGGCTTGTTTACTTTTCTATTTACGATAACGTTAGAAATAATAAGCGCACTATCTGAATGACCCGAAAACCAATATTTTGCCGTCTCAAGAAAATTTATTTTCTACTTGAAGTCTTTGCCGCTAGACGGCAAACACCTCTAAATCTGTGAAACCTGCAAGCGTCAAAGTCAAAATAATTGTATAACTCAAGGCCTATGGCCTTAATAATTTGTCTTTACAAAATTTACTTTAATGGAATATTGCCCGAGGCTCGAGTCTATACTCACCGTACGTAGCGCTGCTCGTTGTTCGAACTCTTGATCAGCTGCGACAGGCGCATACTAAAAAAAAAAAAAAAAACGCGAGAGCCACGCGTTAAATGCTTAATTTTCGTAACGTCCGCACGCATCGTGCGCAATGGAGAAACAATGGAAATTATCGCAACTCACAGCTTTTCCAGATTCGAGTCGTCCGTGCTGGTGAACGGGTCCTCGCTGCGCAGCACGTGCAGCGCGACGAGCGTGACGATAACGAGGCCGATCGCAATGATGAGCGAGCGTCGGAAGTAGCATGACGCTATTCGCATGGCTGTGCTGCTTCGTGGCCCCCCGAATGCGCTTCTCTAATTCCCTGCTCGTGTCGTGTCGTGTCCGCGAGGCACACGACAATAATGCATCATCGATAGAATTCGAGGCTTATTTTATTATTTACAGTATAGCTACGGTGTAAAATGCAGAAAATAGAGAGAGAGATATCGCATGATGCTGCTGTATATGAAAAGGCGGATGCGGTCGCAGCAGTGCGCCAGAGAGAGAGAGAGAGAGAGAGAGAGAGATTTTGCATCACTGCCGTGCTATGGAATTGATACGACTGAGATCGTATTTAATACCGAAATTCCGCCCACTTTTGTTTTGTTTCAAATCATCGCGTCGTCCTCGTTATCGGTGCGAAACCACAGGCAGACAGCACAGCAGTCGGTATATGGTTATTACACCCGGGCAAATTTATCAGAATATAAATTCGTTCTCGGCAAAGCTCTCGATATTGCATTTCGCGCGAGCTTATAACGTACATTATTATATACTCTATAGGCTCTGTACGCGCTAGCCCTTTGTTAATCGCATCGAAACGTAGCAAATGTTTTGCACAATTAATGCGTATACGCGGAGAGAAATTCGAACTATGTATATAAATTGTGCGCCAAAGTGAAATTGTAACTCGCGTACGTATGCATATGGAATTCACCGGGAGTCTAGGTAATATAATTCCACGTAAAGATAATTGTTGTTCGTAGGAAATCCGTTTCTAGCGAATACTACATATGAACTGCATGTGTGTGCGCTGCCTCGCGCTGTTCTCGAATCGCATATGTATTTTCATGCCGTGCCGATGGAGAGATATTATTTTTAGAATCACGCGAGTGCATAGGAGTTATTTTATACACTCGATAAGTATTATGATGAAGTCAAGGCAAAATCCTCACGCATTGTTTATGAAAAATAAAAAAAAAAATGATAATAATAAATCAGGATTATGATTTCATTTTCAAACGAGTTTCTTTTTATTCGCAGTCTGTCCGGTTTTCATTAAATAATTTTTTATTCATTTTCACGAGTGATTGACAAAATTTTGAATTCTAGGCGATTAAAAATGATTGTGACAAAAAAGTAATTTTAGAGCTCACCCAGAGTCGTTGACTCGCAATCTTTGTCCGCACTAAAAACTCGAGGAACTTTGATCGATTTTTATTTTACTTGCAATTTCAATTTGGTTTTTAATCTCAGATTGCTCGAGCTCCTATATACCCAATAGCCATAAAAAAAAAATCGATTATAGATCTTCGGTACTTATCTAGAGCAACTTATACGTAAGTACGAACTATACGAGTCAACGTCTTAATAAACTTAAAAGTGTTTTTGTGTCATTTTCCTTTATGAAAAGTTGTTCGTTCGCTCTGCAAAACGAGTTTGCCCAACTTTTTTTTTTCATAAGTATCGCAGCATTTAGCTTTGACGAATATATACGCGACTTTAATGAAAAAATTAATTTTTTCGTTTTTTCGTCGACTGTAATAACTCTCGGGCTCCGTTTCAATTTAATTCATTCGACGTGTAAAGCTTCGTGCGAAATTTCGAACGAAAACTTGCACGATTGCTGGTACACATAAATTAAGCGCGTATTGTAATGCAACATAAAAGCGCAATCAACGCGATGAATTTAATATCGACGGGCAAAAATTTATGTTTTTAAAATCAGATACGAGATGTACGACAAAAGTTCGATATTTACCCATTGCACTTTGATTTTAACTGCTTTGAAACTCAAACATAGCACCGTACGCGATATTATATACTTTCCTCGTTTCGATATTTATCTAGTCACACACGTGCATCGTCCCATCTCTCTCTCTCTCTCTCTCTCTCTCTCTCTCTAATATCGCTCGCAATAATTGCAGCGCTACAATTCGCGATATCCTTGGGCGAATAAAAACTACCGCTACTATACTGCTGCTTACCTCTTTCATCCGTTCCACGAGTGCGAGCGCAACAGCACCAGCTCGTTCGCACGTATATCATCCCTGCGTAAGCGATGAGTATCGTATTAAAGCCTCGAAGTCGTATTTCTTGCGTCGAGAGACAGCTAGGCCGACGTCGACATCGTCGTATCCGACAACCTCGGCAATTGCACTTTGGTCCGCGGCGGGTCTCGTGCGTGCAGCAGCAGCAAAGGAAAAAAAAAACACCAAAACGTAGGCATCCACCTGTCACTCTCTCCTATTTTCTCTCTTTATTTTTCTACCGTCCACGTAGAATAAATGAGACGTTGAAGGAGTCGCGTCGCGTGCTAAAAGCTCTCATGAAAAATTTGCGCGGCGCTATGCGTGCGCGGTGGTGTTTTGCAAGCGACTGATGCAGTCGCCGTGCGCTGCTTATATGCAGCAGCAGCAGTGCACGACGTGTGTCTTCGTTGGTATAGCTTGGGCAGTAGTAGTAGTAGTAGTAGTAGAGTAGCTCTACACGGCGCCTATGGAAGCGGCGATCGATATTTGGCGCGCACACAATCTCTCGGTGTGGGGCCTATATATACATGTATGTATGTATATACCCCCCACGTACAGTGGTGGCTGTGCACTGTATGGATGCGGAGCACTCGCGCATATATAGACGGAGAACAGACAGCATCAACGAAAGCCGCCCCGCGGGTGCGCGTAAAATTTGCACAGGCGCGCGCAAAGGTACTCTCTCTCTCTCTCTCTCTAAAGCCGGGTGAAAGAGAGAGGGTATAAGAGTATAAAATATATATATGTATATGACGGCGAGCGTCGGCAGCAACCCCACTGCACCGTGGATAGCGTCCGTATGTATTATATATATATATGTACCCGGAGGTCAAAGGTTGCGGTCCTGCGTGTTATGTCTGCGTAAAATGCCAAACCGGTGGATATACATATCTGTACGAGCGCGCGACGGTCAAATTTTATACTCCGTAAATATATACATATCCAGTTTCTCTCTTTGCAGCTATTTTCTATGTATACGATACGCGTACGTTGGACGTTGCACTAATTTTAGTCCGTTTCCTACTTGCAGCTCTCGGGGCTACTATACCGCGTAAACGGCTCTACTGCACTGCATCTTTTTTTGAGCCGCAAAATGTTCGATGCACTTTTGCCCCCCTCCCCTTTCCAATTCATTCGATATTAGTAGCACTACTATATACACAAACCCGCTCTCTTACGTACGCGCGCAAATGCGGGTATATTATATATACGTAACGCAGTTTTCCATAATCGTCGTCGTCACGCGCGCGCGTGTGCGCAAAAAGAGAGAACTTCCATATTCACCGCGAGCGCTAATAGATGCACGTACTGCGGTATACTTACTTTCAGTTGGCGCGAACGCACACACACATCAATGCGGTTCATTTATACGACGTGTCCGTGTGCAATATAAAACTGCTCACATAATGGACGCAGTTGTACGCGTACATATGCACGTTTCTTTTGAGCCGCGTATATAGTCGTATACGCGTATTGTGTATGCGCTGCGCGGTGCAGTAGTGCAGTGCAGTTGTCCCACTTCGCGCGTATCTAGTAGTGCATTCAGTCGGTTATGCCTCTGTGCGGTGTATAAGCTTTTATTATTATTATATATTTATCACGTGTGTTATGCCGTCTGCGAGAGTGGCGAGCGCGTATTTCCGTGACCAAGATTTGTTTTTTTTTTTTTTTTTTTTTTTATGCGCAACACAAAACGTTTCCTTTCGTCTCTCTTTATTACGATCGTTGTATCACTTTTTTTTGTTCGCTCTCTTTCTCTCTCGACTTTTGTTAAACTATTTATCGTCGTGTTTACATGACACTACTTATTATACGACTCGCTGCGGGGACATTATACAATTAATTAAATATTACAAGAGACTTTTCATCTCGACGCGCTCGGTATCGTCGTCGTCGTCGTTGTCTTCTTGGCCTTCAGCTTATCCCTCAGCTCCTGCAGATTCTCCACCCTGTCGTTCGGCGCGCCGAGAAATATGTTCAGCCTCTTGTAGGTGCCGCAATCGTACCACACGGGGCCGTCGTTCCAGAGCAGATCGAAGCCGCCCACCCTCGTCTCTCTGCCGGTCAACAGCCTCTCGAAGTCCAGAATGTTGAGCACGTCGTCGATCAGGTCGAACTTGAGCCGGAAATCGTGCGAGTCGGTGGCGCTCAGCGAGGGCGACGCATTGACCTCCAGCAGCCACGGCTTCAGCCGCTCGTCCAGTATCACGTCGTAGCCGTACAGCTCGAAGGAATTTTTGCCCGGTATGATGATCGACTGCACCGCCTGGAGGCTGGCCATGATGATGCCTGTGTGCGACAAACAGAGCGAAAAAGATGAAAATGACGCGCGCGATCGATCGAAAGATTAGAAGCAAAAAAAAAAAAAAAAAATCGTGTCGAGTGGTATAGCGCGGGGGTGAGAGAATATTGGAGAGGAGCATTTTTTTGGGGGCAAAATGAGTAGTAGTGGCGCAGAGTAGTGCCAGCTTTTTCAAGTTATTTTTTAATACAAAATAATTTTAATATTATGCAAGATACTTTTCTTAGTATATAGTTTACGAATCGCACGCGATACCTCTCTCGTATGGAATTATTTTATAATACAGTCATTTTTACAGTATTTTTACATAATATCTTTTTCTTTATACAATTTTTTAACAAAAGATGTATAATTATTATTAATATGTGCACATCGATCCCCTACTATACATTGCACGTCTCTCTCTCTCTTTCTCAAACACAAACTCTGCTGCTCCTCTGAGTGACCGTTTTCTCGTTGATCATGGCGTTCTTCGACCTCAGCGGCTTCTTCATCTCCTTGCACTTGATGGTGCAGTGCCAGACGTGGGTCTCGTCGTCCAGCCAGTCGTACACGTCCCTGATCCAGTACATCTGCTCGGCCTCCTTGATCATCGCGTCGTCCTTGTACCAGGTGATCACGGGCGAGCATCGGTGGGTGCAGCTCAGCACGACGCCCACGCCGTATTGGCCGCGGCACGCGCCGCTCACCACGTCCGTGTCGAAGAGGATCGAATGGGGTTCAGGATCGACGACGCTCTCGTGGTACTCGTAGCTGAGGCGGCCGTCGTCCTCCGTGGTGACGTGGAGCAGCTGCTTGCCGTCGACCTCGAGGCGCGAGATCGTGTAGCCGTAATTCAGCGGATCGAAATTGTCGATGATCTCGGGCCCCTCGCCGTGATTGTCCTCGCGCACCCTCACCAGCAGCTCGTCGATCTCCATCTCCGTGACGGACCTGTCGTTGGTGTACTTGGACGTCCTCTGGTACTCGTAGTAGATGCGCACGTTGTCCTGGAGCACGGGCCTCGTGGGCGCGCTGCATATGCGCCTGACGCTCCTCGACCTGGCCGGCGTCGCGACTATCGTCCTGTTCGGATTCTTGGCCGTCGTGAGCAGCGACAGCTTGAGCTTGTACGGGGTGGTGTTGTTGGCGCGACAGTAGCCCCAGATGTCGCATATCGAGCCGTCGGGCTTGGCGAACTCGTCGATTATCTGCGTCTCCTCGTCGCCGCTGCCTACGTGGCCGAGCTGCACGTGGTACAGCTCCTCGAGGTCGAAATTCTTCCTGCCGGTGAACTTTTTCACGGCCATCTGCTTGATGTCGAGCGCCCCGTAGATCTTGTTCTCGATAAGTTTCAGCTTCTGACAGTTGCCCAGAGGCTTCTCCATCGGCTCGTACTTGTCGTTGGGTGTGGCTCGGTTCAGCCAGCCGACGCGCAAGACTTTCGTCAAGAGTTTGGGCGTCTTCGAGGCGCTTCGGCTTTGACGGCCTCTTGTTTGTTTCTGCAAAATAGTAAGATGGGAGATTTTATTTATGACGGTACAGTAAATGTTAACGAGTAAGCGCGGAGTACTTACCGGAGTAGCGGGGCTTCCTTTTTTCGATTCGGAATTATCAACGTTGCCCTCGTCCGTGGATTGGCTCATCTCGCTCGTCACGGTGGATACACTTACGTCGAGATTGTCACTTGGAGACTTGTATTTGTCAGATATGTATCCACACCTCCTCCGAGGACTTTGAGGCGGAGACGTGGATTGGCTCATCTCGCTCGTCACGGTGGATACACTTTCGTCGAGATCGTCGCTTGGAGACTTGTATCTGTAAGATATGTATCCACACCTCCTCCGAGGCCTCCGAGACGGAGGGTATTTGTAAACTAAGGTTCCACACATCCTCCGAGGCTTCCGAGGCGGAGAATTGGGTTTGTCTTCATCAGAACTGTCATCTGATGACTCGCTTTCTTCGGTTTCGTTATCTTTATCTTTCTCGTCGTCTCCGCTTGATTTCTCCGACTCGACCGAGTCGTCGCTCGCCTCTTCCTTCTTTGCGCTCGATTTGAGCTTAAACTCGCTCGTAACTGATTCGTACACCAGACCTACTTTAGTCTCAACCATAGCCTCGGTGTGGCACTCCTCCGAACACTTCATCACCACGATGCCGTTTTCTATCTTAGGCACGCACTTGTGGTCTGCTGAATTTTGACGACACGAGCCAATTTTAGGGCGCGAGACTGACTCGGTTTTGTTATCCGAACTTTCGGATGAATTGGTGACGTTTGATTCAGTTTCGATGGCTGCAGGACTAGGAGTTGGACTGAATTTGGTCTTTTGCTCAGTTGCATCGCGAGTTGAGACGTCTTTGGGATCTTCCTCGTCTTCTTTACTGTCTTCTTCAACTGCATCTTTCTTAGCCTCGCTAGTTACTGGTTCGACGATTTCTGAAGATACTTCCATTTTTTCATCAGAAACTGCCGCTTCGTCGGTTTCGCTAATAGCTGATTGGACCGTTTCGGGTTTATCAGTTTCTGAAGATACTTCCATTTTTTCATCAGAAACTGCCGCTTCATCGGTTTCGCTAATAGCTGATTGGACCGTTTCGGGTTTTTCAGTTTCTGAAAATACTTCCATTTTGCTATCGTCGAGTTGGGCTTCATCTGATTCAAGCTTGGAGTCAGTTTTACTGCATTCAAGTTTTTCTGTCGAAATTACAGCCTCATCTGCTTCACTTACAGCTGATTGGACAGTTTCAGTTTTTTCAGCTTCCGAAGATACTACAAGTTTTTTTTCTTCAGTTACGGAGTTAGTCTTATCGCATTTTAATTCTTCTACTACAGGAACTGTATCTTTTTTAGTCAGAGAAACGTCTGACTCGATTGTTTCAGCACTTTCAGAGTTTGGCGATTCTTTCATTGGGGTTTGTAGAATAGGAACAGATTCATGTTTGACAGCGATATCCTCGCAAGTGGATTCTTTTTCGGCTTGGACGGATTCTTCATTGTCAATGTCAGTGGTTCTAGATTCTGCGACTTCTTTATTTTCCTGTTCCTGACAAGCAGTGGAATCGATAGCTTCATCTTTTGTTTTACATTCTTCTGAATTTACTATTTCTTTTTCAACTTCAGAATTGACTGTATCCTTGTCACTCTCTGAGATCGTGGTAGATTTTGAATCTACTTGAATCTGCTCATTAGTCGTCGGATCGTCTTCACTTTTTACTTGTGAATCAGTCAAATTGGTATCGATTTTCGATTCCGACTCGGTTTCAAAATTTATTTCTTTTTCTAGAGGCACATCATCATGAGTCTCATCTTTCTTAATTTCTACAATTGGAGCAGATTTATCCGCGGATTTTTCGTCGGTCACGAGCTGCTCTTGCTCGCTTTTAGCAACATCGTCAGTTTTATCGGCCAATTGGCTCTCAGATGAATCAATTGGCTTTGATTCTTCGATTTCTGGTTTACTATCTACAGCAGTGATATCCTCATCCATTTTATCATCGGACGAGTCTTCTTTTTCTTGGGCATCGTCGCTTTTCTTATCATCTCTCACTTCGTCAACTTCGCTTTTCATTTCAACATCGTGAGACTCGACCGACTTATCATCTACGCTTTTCGAATGATCATCCTCTTTGTCGGTAACGTTACCATTGCCGTTCTTGGCCTCGATAATGCAGATCTCATCCTTATCGACGCTTTTCGATTTCTTCACCGCAGGAACGTAATCATCGTCGTCACCCAGATCTACAATCATAAGTCAAATATTGTTATTAAGCTTTCAATAAACCCTCCGTTTTTCATTACTTCGCAAACTCACTGTCGAAACAATAAAATAATAAAACTCACGTATTTCCGTATGCACGTCGTACACGTCGACGCTCTGATTTATTTTGATGCGCTCGTCGCAGGGGGTCAGTATGATCCTCTTGCCCTCGGAATTTTTGAACGACAAGCCGTCGGTCTTGGGAAAACGTTCCCGCAGCGCTTTCAATGTCAAGTATCCATCCTCGTTCGGGCAAAAGTCCGCCTTCTCGTTCTGATAGATCACCTGTATTTTCATGGTCACTGCGAAAATTCGAAACACACGCGCGCGCGATCAGTAAAAGGTCACTTTTGGAAGAGAGAAAAGAAAAGAAAAGAAACGATTGTAAACAGTACACACGGTCGATTTATTACTTTATCACTCGGACGTTGCGAGACACGCGCATATTATTTACATATAACGTGCTCGAGAGAGAAAAAGATGATGGATATCTTTCGAGCGTGTACTACTAAATTATTATGGTTGAAGTTCGATTTAAACGACCGTTGCTAAACAATTCACGATTCATGACTGACATAGTGTTTTATCAACGAGAAAAAAAAGGAAGGAATAAGAAGAAAAATGTAATGAAACTTACTTGTTTGCTCGCAGGCGCGTTATATATATACGAAACGTAAACAAATCAACTGGTGTGTGGTCGCAGCTACACACGCGGCAGTAGCAGCAGCTCACGCACGACTCGAGCGAGTCAACTCGGCAGGCAGTGTACAACACGCACAGATCGCGAACTTGGTATTATCTCTCACGATGTTTCCCCTTCTAGTCGCACCGCAGATGTAAAACACATTTGTATGTGTTTATATTATTATACATATATTATATATTCGCTCTATGTAATCGCTGATTTTGAATCGACGATTAACCCACACGCAGAGGCGCGAATATATAATAATTCGTAGATGGGAGTCGACGATGATACACGAACTCACACACGCCCGGGCACGAGGTATATTTGGCTGATTCTATTCTTTCCGTTACAAGCGGCGAAAGACAATAAAAATAGAAATGAAACTTTTTTTCAAAATCGTTCGATACGAACGCACTCGGCAACGTCCGTCTGCTGCGCTGCGAGTGCAAGCCTACAATGATACAACGTATTTAATATCTTGTATCGTAACGACACTCTCTCGCAGCACCGACTTGCTATATAGTGGCATGCACAGAGGCGTGCGCGGCTCCGCACACATGTGATACACAATACAATATAATAATAATAATGCTAATGTAGCGCGCGATTGCTAAAAACGCGCCGACATGCCGCACACACGTGTATATGTATGCGGTGCAAGGTAGTGCGTGCGTGTAAATGTGTGTGTGTGTGTGTGTGTGTGCAGCAGTTCGTCTTCGGAGTGTCGTGGCGCGCTCGGCTCGGCTCGGCTCGCGCAAAAAATTCGCAGCAGGCTGCTGCAGTACCGACGCAGGCAGGTGTCTCGTGCAAAAATTCGAAATACAATCGCGCCAAGATTACCGGCGATATTGTGAATGAGCTGATCGATGACTTGCTCGCCGTGACGATCGGACAGGTACTTTTTCAGACAGCTGAGTGGCCACTTCCGGCCGAGTTTCACCTCGTTGACGCAGTCCTTGTCGCCGGCATCGTTGTTGTCGTTGTTGTTGACGGAGCTCGACGTGGTCGACGGTCGCGGTTGACGCAGCTGGATCGACATGTTGGTCAGGTGCACTCGATTGTCGTCGATGCGCTCGAGGGAGAACTGCTCGCCCGACAAACGAGCGAAACCCTCGCGGGCGAGCCAGACCTTGAGCGGCTGGAACGACGTGACCAGTACGTACAGGCGCAGGTCAAACTTGCAGCCTAGAAACAAAAAAAAAATTGAGCCGTAACGAAAAAAAAATTTCGATCCGAATGATTTTTGTTTGTCTGTATAGGACCGACCGTCGATGAGGTAAGGATCGTCGATGTACTTCTGCACGAGGTAATTCATCTGACTTGGCTGCTCCTTGCCCGGCTCGTAATCCGCGAGATCGCTGCTGGGATGAACGCACTCCTTGCCCTTCCACTCGACCAGATCGCGCAGCCGTTGAAACAGAAATATTCCTCTGCCCTTTGTAAACGAAAACAAAAAAAAAAAAAAACCATCCGATTCGCGCCCTCGTCTTATACGCTATTTTTATCGTGTATCAAATTGCAAAAAATACCTGCGATCCTTGGGACGGCTTGACGATCCAGGTGGTGCCGTGCTTCTTGCGGTGCTCCTCGATCAGCATCCTGTACTCGCTCGGCAGCTCGAACGAGATCGGCATCGCGTCGCACAGCTCGGCCTCCTTCGTCTTGCCCGCCTTGAGCAGCAGCCGCCTGTAGCGCTTGAGATTGCGATAGAGATAGTTCTTGCGGGTGAGCTCGCAGTGATTGCGAAAGTGCGAGACCCGCTGCTGGGGTCTCAGTCGCTGGGCGTCCAGCGCCTGGCGCAGGTCGCTCGTGTCGCACCACCACAGGTCCCAGCTCGAGTCTTGGCTGTCGTGTATCTATACGTATATAGTAGCCAAACGAGATTCGCTGCGACCGTAATATTCGTCTCACGCCGAGAGAAAAATTTCGCGAAAATACTTACTCTGCTCCATCCTCGCGATTGCAGGACTTTGAGCGGCGTCGACGAGTAGTCGCAGCGAAATTTGATCGTCTTCTGGTGCTGCTTATGGTGGTGGTGATTGGCGCGCTTTTTCTTGCTGCCGCTGCTGTTGCTCTTGGGCGAATCCTTGCTCATTGTTTGTTGCGTGTGTTGTTGCGCCCACCACAGGCGTACACGTTTACGACGATGAATTTATTTCACGAAGCATGCTTGCGTTGATAAATTTTCGAAAAGTCAATGTATAGGTTATACGAGCTGGGCTTGATATTTTTTTCTTTGGTACACGAGTATAACTCGTTCAAGAGCTTGTGGCGTTTGTGTCGAAATAAACAATTGCAGTCCATCGACGCGTAAAATGATTGAGTCAACATTGTATCGTAAATCACGAGTAACTATCTTTATTTCTCTTTAAAAGGGCTTGAAAAATGAAACATATACATTTTCTCGAATTATTCAGTTCTGTCTTGGCACGCCTCGCTCGTACTTTTCCCTGTAATAAGGAACGTGCTGGAATACTTCCTTCCACTCGCATAACCAAGCGCCAAACAGAGCCGTGGCTGTGGTGTAATACAGAGTCGATCCTTTCCTATCGATGGATGCATATCATATAATTCGATCGTTTTCCAAATCGTCCGACGCGTGTATGTACTCACCACACCCAGACACTGCGAAAGAATTTTCTCCTTACGAACGGTATTCTCATTATTTTTACTCGAATCGCAGAGAGGGTTATAAATATGCGTCAAGACTCGCAGTGCCGCGACACGACTGTGGTTTGTTTCACGTCGCAATCGTGGAAAATAAAAAAAATGCAACACAACAACTATTTCACATCGTCAAAATGATAAATTTTATATCTCGACATCGTACCACACTGGACTCGATTAAAAAAAAAAGAAGAAGAATCGTTATACACAACGCTAACTTATTATCATTATAAATTAAACTAAAGAAAAAAATCGACGCTAATAATGGCTAAGAACGCTCGCAATCGCAGGGCCGGTTGCGGCGCGGCTTCGGCTGCAGGCAGAACACGGTCTTTTTGTGGACGTTGATCTTGTGCCTGTAAGCCAGCCACAGGGAGGCGGCCATGACGAGCGAGACGCCGATCGTCTTCATGGCGTAGAGCTTGCGCGTGTTCCACTCCTGATTGGCCGTCCAGTTGAGGAACTCCACGACGTCCTTGGCCATCTGGGACTTGGTCGCGGGCGTGCCGTCGTCGTAGTCGACGCCGCCGTCCTGCAGCATCTGCGACACGAAAAAACACTCGAGCTTTGGTTTCGCGTTTAATTTTTTATTTTTATTTATTTTTTTTTTTCGCGTACCGACCTCCATCATTCCCAGGGCGCCACCCTCGAAGTACGGATTGAACGCCTGTCCCTCCATGAGCTCGACGCCCGCGGGCGGCTCCCGATAACCCGTCAGCAGGCCGAACACGTAATCGGGCCCGTGATGCCTGGCGTTGACCACGAAGCTCAGATCCACGGGCAGGGCCGCGTTATTGGCGAATCTCGCCGCTTCCTCGTTCTCGTAGGGCCCGGGCACCTTGTCGGACAGCTTGGCCGGTCGCATGAAGTACTCGCCCTCCTCGTTGGGTCCGTCCTTGACCTCGTACTCGCTGCACATGTCGCGCACCTCGTCCTCGGTGTAACAGACGTCGACGAGGTCCTTGAATGCGACGTACTGGAGACTGTGGCAGGCCGAGCAGACGTTCTTGTAGACCTGCCAGCCCCGGCGGACGCTCGAGTGATCGAGCGAGGCGAAGGCGCCGTTGAAGCCCCAGGGCAGTTTGGGCGGGTGGACCGAGGCATTGCCCGCTTCGACCACTGGACTATAATAAATTACGAGATTCATCGTCGTTATTTTTTTTTTTTTTTTTTTCATTCAGTCGAGAAAATTTGTTGTCGATCACCTGCCGAGTACACGAAGGACGACCGTGCCGCAGGTAGCCAAGGTTCCTGCTGCCAGGGCCAAGCCGAGGCAGACTTTTTTCAGCCTGCACCAAGTGGTACCGCTTCTGTTGCAGTTGTTGTTGTTGTTATCGTTGTTAGATCTGTCAAAGTTGTCCGAGGCTAACGTCCAAAAGCACCTTCTGCTTCTCGCTGAGTAGCACCGATCGAGGCCAATGAACTCACTGCTGCTGCTGCTGCTGGGTCCGATACGATGCTTCAATAACTGAGCCAGTAGCGGTCGTACGCTGCAAGACATGACCACCGGTATATAAATCACGGAGACTTGCTCATCGCAGGACTCGTGGTTTTTCTTTGCCGTCTGTTATTTTCATGTAGCGGGTCGACTTTTCCTACTGTTTGTTTATTTACTTGGAGTGATATGAAAGGTTATATCTCTATAATTGACTCGGAAGCGCCGCGCACGACGAAAAGTCCGCGCCAACGCGACGCGGGGACAAGAAAAGACGATCGTCGATCGCTCGATCAAATTCTAGGTACAAATACGCATAAAATGAAATAATCACCAGTAACAGTAGGTAGGTCAGTAAATCTCGAGGAAAATCGCGATACATGAACGGACGACTTGACGATGAAGGATAAAACCCTGTCAGTATTCGGTCAAGTCTTGAAGAAGTTTGAGAACCCAACGCATATACGGTAAGAACAAACAGGGGATCGTTGACTATAAATTTCTGCGAATTGGTCTTTTGAATTTCTCGGCGTTCCTTTTATTTCATCATCATCATCATAATTATTTACCCAGTGTACATGGTACATACAGTGCTCTCAAAAGTGACACCCACAAAAAGCGCGCGATTCAAATAATGTTATTTTTTCGTAGAAAAATCCTTATTATTGTTAATGGCAATCGAGACGCTTTTAATCAATAGATGGAATAACTCGATAAATAATGCACTGATAAAATAGGTTTTTTGTTCGATGCAAAAAGCTACATGTCTTATGAGTTTCGTTATCCTGTAGCTTTGTTTATTGCAAACTCATATGCAATTGAAAAAATAGCTGTATTTTGTTGTTTTTTTTTTTTTTTTTAACTATCGGATAAGGAAATGTACTCATACCAAAGTTATCTAGTCATCCCAAAGAATATCTCCCATTTTCGTTTAAACGAATTGCTTATTAGAAAAAAAAAATTATTTATCACTGGTTTGGCTAGGGACTAGGGTATACTTTAGCTGCGCATGTCTAATGCTCCGAATCTAGTGAGCGATGCTCATTGCTCAGCGTCGACTTCCTGCCTAACTTTCTCTTTCATCTTGGGAAGGCATCAAGCTTTAATATCTAATAGCAGCTGAGCAGTTCTACTCCACATGTTGCGTCGTTCAAATCGTTTTACGAATACCCAACCTATAAAAGAGGTCTCGATCATCCACACGTGTTTTTAAATTAGTGAAAAAAAATTGAAATTTGTAATTTTTAGTGTTTTTTTGGTGTTCGTGAGTGCTTATAAACATGTCCAACAACGAATCCAGTGTAAGCTATAATAATAGAAAATATTTAGAAGTGTACGGGTACTTGTCGAAAAATGTCACGTGGGAGATTCAAGAGGATCGACGGGAATTTCTTTATCAACTCGATGCCGTCATCGAAAATTGGAAAGGCCAACTTCCAAATATTCTAGACTTCTTCCGGAAAGAAGTTATTCATTGGCTTTTGCTGGAATCCACCACAGACGCAGATGAAGACGTCAGCGAGACACCAGGGGAACGATTCATAAATTTCGTGGCTCGCAGCGGCTACAAAGACGCGCCCGAAATGAATAAACACGGAAAGCCACTATTGCGTCGCACCACACTAGTCCATCGTGCGGCTCGAAATAATCGCAGTTACGCCCTAGTCTCTGATCTCTTTAAAATTTTTGACAAACTTGACGTAAATTACATAGACGAAGATGGATTAACACATCTTCACGTGGCCTGCTGGTATGGTCTCGACACCATCGTCGAAAAATTCCTTGAACTCGGGCAAGATCCCAACGGCTTTTCTCAAGACATGGGCGCGAGATATCCTTACCCGCCGCTATACCTGGCTCTATCCAGAGGCAACGAGACAGTAGCCGAATTGCTGCTGAGAAAAGGCGTCTATCTGCTTCAAGCCAGTGTGGACGGAGTAACTCCTGCGCACATGCTTGGCAAGAGAAATTACAATGATGCCTTCCTTGAGACATTTTTTGAGATTGTCGAGGAGAAACATCAGACGTTGCCGGTCAACGCCATAGACCGTGATGGCCTTTTACCGTTAGATTATGCTCTGAGGGGCAGAAACAAGAAACTGATGGAAATGCTGTTGAGAAACGGCTCGAATCCAAATTTGGGCAACAAATATAGAGATGCTCCATTGCATACCATTTGTAAGCTATGCTACAACATTGACTTTGGTGATATATTGGAGAAATTTTTTGCCATCAACGACGAACTTGGTAACACGATCCAGGTCAACGCTCAGAATATATACGGTCACACACCATTGCACTTGCTCCTGTCTGTATCGAGTAACAACAAAAAAAACAACGATCACAACTATCAGGATGACACGCCATCGCTCTTGGTTCTGCAGAATCTTAGAAAAAATGCAGTTGAACTGTTGCTGAAAAGGGGTGCCGACCCTAATGTGGCCGACAAGGAAGGATTTATCCCCCTGCATAACATTTCCATGGACTTGGTGGAGACATTCTTCAAAATCAACAAAGAGTTGAATCAAGATTTGTGCGTCAACGTCCGGAACAAATGGTACGAGACACCGTTGCATCGGGCATTACACCAAAACCTCAAAAACTTGGCCGAACTGCTGCTGAGACAGGACGCTGATCCGGATTTCTCCGACAACAAAAGGCAGACTTGTTTGCATATTATTTGCAGAAGGGACGACGACGACGAAAACATGGCAAAGATGTTATTTCAGATTTGCGACGATAAACATCGCTCGGTCAAGGTTGACGCTCAGGACAATGAGGGTCGGACACCGTTACACGAGGCATTAGACAAAGGCAACATAAAATTGGTAGAAATTTTGCTAAGAAGAGGCGCTCGCCCGAACTTAGCTGATGATAAGAAAATTACTCCTTTGCACGCAATATGCAAGAGAAAAAACGGCGACGATGGCTTGCTGAAGAGATTTTTCGAGATCAACGACGAATTAAATCAGCTGGTGGAGGTCGACGCCAAGAACGAGGAGGGCTCGACGCCGCTACACTTGGCTCTGTCCCATGGATGCAAAAAAATGAACCAATTGCTGTTGCAAAGACATGCCGATCCAAACTTGGCCAACGCAGAGGGTCATACTCCTCTGCATGTTATATGTCAGAGAGAAGACGACGATGTTGACTTGGTGAAGATGTTATTCGAGATGAGTGACAAATTGAATAAGCCGATCCAGATCGACGCCCGGGACAAATTCGGCTGCGCACCATTGCACTTGGCTTTGAATGGCGGCCACGAACAAATAGCCGAATGGCTGCTGAGAAGAGGAGCTGATATAAATTTAGCCAACGTGAAAGGATCGACACCGTTGCACATGATTAGCGCGGGAAAAATGGACTACGCTGACTTTTTGCAGACGTTTTTCGAGATCAGCGACGAGCAAAGGCGGCCGGTGAAGGTCGACGCACGCGACAACGAAGGCAAAACGCCGCTCCACCATGCTATAAGTCACCGACACAAGAAGCTGTTTGAATTACTGCTGAGAAGAGACGTCGATCCGAATGTGGCCGATAACGATGGTTCGACAGCTCTGCACACGATTTGCATGGCCGACGACGACAACGGCTGGGCGACGATGTTGTTTGAAATCAGCGAGGAAAGGAATCGACAGGTGCAGATCGATGCTCGGGGCTTGTACAACTTAACACCACTACACCTTGCACTGGTAAAAAAAGAGCTCAGGGAGGTGGCAGAATTGCTTCTGAGAAAGGGCGCCGCTACGAATTTAGTCGATTCGGAGGGCTCGACTCCTCTGCACACGGTTTGCAAGTACGCCGATGACGATGACCGCGTGAGGATGTTGATCGAGATCAGCAACGAAGAAAATAAGCCGGTCGAGGTCGACGCCCGGAATAAGTTGGGCCGGACGCCGCTACATCGGGCCCTGGTCAAAGGAAACGGTCAGGGGGTCAGGTATCTGCTGAAATTAGGCGCCGACCCCAACTTGGCAGACATGAATGGATTTTCACCGTTGCATGTCATCATCAAGCATCGTTACGACGACGATAAATTGTTGAAGCTGTTCTTCGACGCCTGCAAAGAGGTCGATCGGCCGGTGCAGGTCGATGTCCAAGACAAGAACGGCCGAACGCCTTTACAATGGGCCGTAGCGAATCTGTTCCTGAATGCGGTCGATGTACTCCTGGATCAAGGCGCCGATCTGTCCAGCTTCGTTTTTCCCAGCAAGAGCTTTTTCGTCGAGAGATTTAGATCGATAAGTGAGGTAGACGAACGTGAACGGCTTTGGCTCAAATTAGCATTAGCGTCTAAAATTTTAGCCATCGTTAAACGTCTCGAGAAAAGAGGATATGAATTTAATCGTAGCCAAGCCCTGGATATCATGAGTTTGTTCGCCGAGTACGGATTGTTTGAAAAGTCAGTGGATCTTGACAAATATTGGTATGACGACGAAGAATTTGTGAGCAAATCGAAAGAGATAATGGTGATTCCTGGCCTGTCGCTTCACGACCTTATCCGATTGAAACCGAAAGAGGCGGCAAAACAACTGAAGTATGAGAACTATGGCGCGTTAGCGCACTGGATCAAATCGTCGGATCTTTCCGAAAGCTACAGGGAGGTTTGTGCTCGACATCTGTGCGAAAAACTGTCGAGAGGATTTTTCTGGCCTTGGGCACTGGATGCGTTCTATGAAGTAAGTCGCTGTCAGCTACCGGTTCTCTGCTGTGAAATGATTATTGAAAACCTAAAGAACGAGGATTTATATAACATTTGCTTGGCAACCCTACACGGAAAAAACGGCAAAGAGTGTAGCAAAGTGCTTAAGCGCAAGGTAAAACTCAGTGCATACGCAGTGCAGGAAGTCGGTCGCGACGGCAAGCGATGCGTTACTTTATTTATACATAAATACACGAAAAAAACGGCGGAGAGTTTGGCACTGTGCTTAGGAGCACGGTAAAACTCCGTGCATATGCACGGCAAAACTCCGTGGATACGCAGTGGAGGGAGGCGGCCGCGTCGGCAAGCTATGAGTTACTATATCTGTATACATAGTCTCCAACTCCCACCACCGCGCGCCGCTGTGAACTAAATTCCGATATTGTGAACAATTTTGCACTGACACTTTTATAATTGAGAGGGTACTTCCACGTAAAATTTTACGAGGAATCGATTGGCGCAATTAATTTTTCCGTGTTTTGCTTCGTTCGCGAAATACGAGCAAAAAATTTTTTCACCATCGATTTTCACCCCGATCCGGACGGTTTAGGCAAAAAATAACATCAGATTTGGATTCAACGCACCCAAAAATATAAAATTGACTTTCAATCTTTCCCAAAAAACTCTGATTTTCATGTAAGTTTTCACTGGACTATTTCTCGAGATTATCTGACCGTTGCGTACGACGAGTCAGTGCATGCACGGCAATTCAACGTGCACAAATTTGACGGCACGCTGCTACACTCTTCGTTGGTTTTTCCGTGTATGATAGGCAAAAACTCGTAATGTCTCGTTATTTTTGTTATTATAACTATGTAGATCACGGAAAATAATAAACAGTATCAAAAAATTGTAACAAATTACTTGAATTCGAAACCTTATAATAACATCGAATCATAATAATTTAATATATCGAAACAATAACAGTAATTTAGCTCGTACGAATCTCCAAAATCTCTTTGTTAGGCAGTGAATATTACAACTATCCATGCAAATAGAAACAAAATTGTAATAATACTTATAACTTTTCTCAAATTCTCATGTAATTCTGTAAATTTTTAATATCAATAAAATGTGTTATAAACCAACTCATTCGACGCTGCAGTCGATTTCATTGATCAACTCAATAAATGTGTAAATTATAATCATGTACTCTTATCAATGTTTTGATTTATTATTTTATCTTCTAATCTGTTACATTTTCACCAATAAAATATAAGGATAATAAACTTGCACTCTATAGTCTCTTTCTCTCTCAAATAAAATTATTACATATAGTATGATGAATTGTGAAAAAGTTATTTAACCAAACAAACAATTGCTGATGGCTTTGTGGTGCATGCCTCATTCTTCAATATCTTCATTTGTCTTCACTGAAAATAAATTGCTCCAAAATAAAACATTCAAGTCAGGTGAGTAAATAGGTATGAAGCTGGTTAACTTTTTTATTTACTCGATAAAAAATTTCCGATTTTCCACCTATGGTAAAATTATTCAAAACGTTGGCGGCAGTGTTTGTTTTGATTTTGTGTGCCACACTATGTGCCGTGTCTACAGATTATAATCAAAAGTCCGCGCTTGTACTCAGTCAGTTAATTTTTTTCCCTACAAAGTTAAAAACGTTTGGAAATAAAAAATAATTACAGCGTTTGACAGAAATCGACTTTGTTTATTTTTTGAATGCTGAAACATCGATTTGTTTTTTGAAGTAATTAGTTGGCCAAAAAAATTTCATAAGGAGATCTCCGTTAAGTTAGATTTTTAATCTGGTTGAAATACTATAAGGACATTGCACAAACACACAAATCGGTAGTTTAATTGCAAACAATATGATCATACACTATTTTGACATAGTACTTCGACACACTATTCAGGTTAATAGCAAAATAAATTAGTTTGATTGTTGTCTTTTCCGATGATACAACCCGTAATACCAAAATATACGTATTTATTCATTCAATTTCCGTGAAACTAAGCATAAGGACCCATCGTTTAATTGAGGCACCAAAATGGATAAAAAATCCGAGGAAGTTGTCTCGATAGATAATTCGAGTGAATATAACAAAAAATACGTTTGTGATATTTGTCAGGAGTCATTTACGCTAGAATCAAGCATGATAACACATCGAGACACAATTCATAATATACAAAAAAATTACGCTTGCGACAGATGCGAGAAAAAATTTGTGAAAAAATCGAGTTTGTTTACACACCGAAAATTGGCACACAATGATCGTGAAGATTACTCATGTAACAAATGCGAGAGAAAATTTGAAAATAAATCAACTTTACTTAAGCACAACAAAATATTCCACGAAGTTTTCAAAAATTACTTATGTGAAATGTGCGCAAAGAGATTCGACAATAAACATAGTTTGCTCTTGCATATAAAGACGGTACACGATGGTCACAAAGATTTTGCATGCGACGAGTGCGAAAAGAATTTCAGAAACAAGTCACAATTGCTCTCTCACCTGAAGACAATACACGAAGGTCGGAAAGATTACGTATGTGAGAAGTGCGGCAAGAAATTTGGGCTTCAAAGCAATTTGATAAAGCATCAAAGAATAGCACACGAAGGTAACAAAAATTTCGCATGCGACAATTGTGGCAAGAAATTTGGACAAAAAGTGATTTTGCTCTTGCACATAACAACAGTCCATGAAGGTCGTAAAGATTACGCATGCGACAAGTGCGAGAAGAAATTTGGGCAAAAATGTTCTTTGATCAGGCACCAAAAGTTAGTCCACGAAGGTCACAAAAATTATGCATGCGATAAGTGTGAGAAAAAATTTGGAGAAAAATCGAGATTGATGAGACATCAAAAGATAGTCCATGAAGGTCGAAAAGATTATCAATGCGACAAGTGCGAAAAGAAATTTGGGTTTCAACGCAATTTAATAAATCACCAGAAGATAATACACGAAGGTCGCAGAGATTTTGTATGCAATAAATGCGAGAAAATATATGGAAGTAAATATTATTTATTGAAGCATCAAATGACAGTTCACGAGGGTCGCAAAGGTTATGCATGCGACAAGTGCGAAAAAAAGTTCGTAACTAAATTTAATTTGCTCCTCCACCAAAAGACGAGACATGAAGGTCACAGAGACTTTACATGCGATAAGTGTGAGCAGAAATTTGGAACAAAAGCGAATATGATCAGACATCAACAGACGGTCCATGAAAGTCGCAAAAATTTCGCATGTGACAATTGCCCGAAGAAATTCGCACTAAAACAGCAATTGTTTGTCCACCAAAAAACAGTTCACGGAGGTCGCAAGGATTATGCATGCGAAAAGTGCAAAAAGAAATTTGGATTAAAGCAGCATTTGCTGGTCCACCAAAGAATAGTACACGAAGGTCAGAGAGATTTTGCATGCGATAAATGCGAAAAAAAATTTGGACAAAAAGCGATTTTGCTTGTACACCAAAAGACAGTCCACGAGGGTCTCAAAGATTTCTCCTGTGACGCGTGTGAAAAGAAATTTGGAGAAAAATCGAAATTGATTGAACACCAAAAGACAGTACACGAGGGTCTGAGAGATTTCACATGCGAAAAGTGCGAAAAGAAATTTGGACGTAAACAAGATTTGTTGAGGCACCAAAAAACAGTACACGAAGGTCGAAAATATTATTCATGCGATAAGTGCAATAAGAAATTCGAACAGAAATCTCATTTACTCGACCATCAAAAAAGATTACATGATAGGTCAGAATAATGGTTTCGCATTCTACAAGTCGGTGCTTCCTAGCAGCATGACGCTTCTTCAAAGAATAGTGCAGCATATCGTGCCATTTTAATTTTCAGTTGACACAATACTACTTCAACGCGCTGATCATTAACCCATTAACGCGCAAAAGTGCAATTTTGTGCATGAATTTTCCGTTGTAAAAAAATTATAGATAAAGTTAAAATATTTTCTTGAAAATCCATACCCAGGGGTTTTTGGGTATGCTCTTTCAGTATCCGGTGTTATTTTTGCGATTGATAAACATTATCATCGTTTATTTTGCCATTAAAAACAAAAAACGTGGTTTTTTGACTCAAAATTTTTTTTCAAAGTCGATTTTCTACCTTGCCTTGCCTTCGGAGGGTTCCCGTAACACCAGAAATCGTGCACTTTTTCTCTGAACCTTCGAAAAATGCGCTGCCGCGATTTTTATCTTGCCCCTATATTTCTAAAATGGCGAATTTATACCGAGCAGCGATATGAAAATTGCCTTATTTTTTATTTGTAAATTATTGACTTTATAAAAGAAAGTCATCCAATGAAAAGTGTTCAAATTTGTTTGAAGAATACATGTGGATTTTTTTTAGAATTTTTTAATAATTTTTTCAGAATTTTTCAGTTTTTTTTTGAACATTCTGGATTTTTTCGACAGGCCGGGAAATGGTCGTATTTTGCAAAATTTTCAAAGTGGTCTGAAAAATTCTGAAAAAATTCACACGTATTCTCTAAACGATTTCAAATAAGTTTTTACACTCCAAATTGTACTTTTGAGTTCATATTTAGCGCATGTAAAATAGGTTCTGAGTAAAAAATGAGTGAATTTTTATACCGTTGCTTGGTATAAATTCGCCATTTTAGAAATATAGGGGCAAGATAAAAATCGCGGCAGCGCATTTTTTGAAGGTTCAGAGAAAAAGTGCACGATTTCTGGTGTTATGGGAACCCTCCAAAGGCAAGGCAAGGTAGAAAATCGACTTTGAAAAAAAATTTTGAGTCAAAAAATCACGTTTTTTGTTTTTAATGGCAAAATAAACGATGATAATGTTTATTTATCGCAAAAATAACACCGGATACTGAAAGAGCATACCTAAAAACCCCTGGGTATGGATTTTCAAGAAAATATTTTAACTTTATCTATAATTTTTTTACAACGGAAAATTCATGCACAAAATTGCACTTTTGCGCGTTAATGGGTTAATATGTCACTTTAACACTAGGTTCGGCAAGATAAAGAACTGGCAATCTATTAGCTACTTCTTGTCTGACCCGATTTTTCACGTGAAAAAAAACACGTCAAAAATCATGTGACACCCGTTTAAATTACTTTTTTACATTTTTCAAAAATTAAAACTATTGTCTCTCTGATTTCGCTGGATCCCAAGAATAACAAAAATAATTTTCAAATGAGTAACACTCAAATAAATACAAAAATTGGTAACTAAATTGTAAACAATATAAATAAACGATCTTGATATTGTTCATCAATAGCTAAAACAAATAAGTTTGT